CCGGGAGCAGCAGTGGAGACCCTCGGGAGTTCCCCCCAGCGGGAACCCTCTGGAATTCCCCTCAGCAGCGCCTTTCTGTGATCACTCAGCATCCCAAGCCTGGCCGGAGCCTCGCTCCCTCTTTTCCCGCAGCTCAAGCCCGCACTCACAGGGACCCAGGTAACAGCAGACCCGAGGTCCAGACACGGATTCAACCCATCAGTACGGGAATGAAAGCCTGCAGCTCGTGAGCAGAGCTGTTTTCCCTCATTCCCTGGAAAAACACAAGCCCTCCCTGTCCGGGAGAGCTGCCTGGCCCCTCCATGCCCGGGCAAGACTTAGGGCTGCTGAGTGATTTAGCAATAGGAATTTATTCCCATAACTCTGCCTCTGGGCTTTATTCCATGAGAACTCACTGCTTTGCTGGAATAAAAAAAAAAAGATTTAGAGCTTGTTTCTGTGCAGCCTAGAAAGGCTTTGCTTGGGATAGATGCATCCAGGAGGCTGGAATAAGGTTCTGGGAATGGGGCCTGGAGTCAGGTGGTTGGTGTGAAGCAGGGGGTGAACAGATATTTCCCGTTACTTCCAGGAAAATGAAGTAGCTGTGGAGCTGGCAGTGCATGGGATGTCTTTATTAGCTCCTTAATCTAATTGAAATCCCATGTGGGGAAGGGCTGGAAGGGGAATCTGGATCCTGACAGCTGAGATCTAATGGAGTTGTCTGCAGGGTGGGGGCAGGAGGAGAAAACAGCCAATCTGCCTTTTGTCTCTGTGGTAATTAATTGTAATTAACAGGGTCAGCTTGGGCTGTTAAACCCTTAACTCTGCCTGTGTTCTGTCCAAGAGGTTCCTGCCATCCCTGGGGACCTGATTTGTCCCCTGGAGCAGTGCACTCTGCTCCTCTGGCCCTGGCACAGCCCTCAAGACAGCTCAGCCTTTGCAGAATTCCTCCCCACATCCCACCCCCACCCCACCGTGTTCCTTTCTTTGGAGCAGTAAATGCCAGGTTGAAGGAGCCCTATGGAGCCAGGAGGGCAGCAAGACCTGTGTCCTGGCTGGGATTTGCAGACAGTGTTTCTCAGGCTGCTAGAAAACCTTTCCTCTTCCCTCTCTTAGTGAAGTGTGAGGCTGTTATGCTACTGAGATTTCCCTCTTTCTTATGGATCACAACCTCTGTCTCTAGCTGGTGCTTCTAGAGGTGAAAACACCTGTGTGAGTGGGAAGTTTTTCATGGAAAACTCACCCCTTGTTTCTGGAGGAGTTTGGCAAACAGGCTGGATGTGCTGGAGCAGGTCTGGGCACAGCAGAACAGGGGCAGTACCCCAAGGTCACCCTGTGCGTGGAAGGTTTTGGCGAAAAGCTGGTGAAAGACTCCAAATTCATGGTGTTTCTCTTTCCATAGATGTTCTCATTGGTGAAATTATCTGGTTACTTGTTTTTTCACCATTTTCTTTACTCACAATGGGATTTGTGGCTTTTTCTCAAAGAGCTTAAAACCAGTTTGGGTTCCTTCAAATGTTTTATGTAAGACAAACTGCAGGGCCAGAGGGCAAGTGCCCCCTGAAGCCCACCCTTCCTTCCTTCTCCTTTCACACCATCCCCTGCCCTTTCTTCCAAAGGCTGATGGGAATTCCTCAAGCCACAATAGATTTTAGTTTTCTACTTTGCCCTCCAGCTCTGTTGCTGCTCTTCACCCTGTGAGATTCTGTGTCACCCACCACGTGGGGACTCATGGAGAGGATGAGCCATACAGAAGATGCTCACCTCTGACAACATCCATGTTCACCTGCAACCACATCTGTGCAGAGTTTGTGTTGTGCTGGCAGAGGGATAGACTGAACTCATCTCGTGAAGGGTCATCTCACCCTTCTCAAAGTCCACTTGTGTTGGCACATGAGATAGTTTACTATCTTCTCCCTCCTACCTTTTCTTTTGGAATTCTGAGGGAAATTTTGTCTGGGATTCCTTCATCTCACTGCTTCCCAGGTGAGCTGTGCAGGGTCTGGACAACATGAAGCACAAAGGTGAGATAGCAGGAGAACCAAGAAGAGTTTGCTGTTCACATAGTTCATTCCAGCCAGGAGAGAGCTGTTAGCTCTGATTAATCAAACAAAAAATGTAAGTCCTCTCTAATCGTACAGATTTTGGGGGTTTAACTCCTCTTAGTTTAGTATCTATCGGACAAATTGAATTTAAGGCTCTCCGTGAGCTGCCTGTGGTATTTTCCTCCAGCAAGAGCAGCAAGAGGTCTCACTGATTAGATTAAATATCCAGGTCACTGCAATCACCTGTGTTTTTCCCTGCTCAGTTTTGATATTGGGAGAGGATGAGAGAAAAAGAGTGTGTGTGGAAAGACAGAACCACAGCTGGAGCTGTCCCAGGCACAGGCCAAATGGGTTTGTGGATGAGCTTTTCCTGAAAGTTTTGGGTACTGCCTGAGGAGGTATGAGGCATGTGCAAACATGATTCTGTTTCCCACCCACATTGGGATGGTGGATGTCCTGGATAATCAAAAGACAAACTGGACAGAGTTTCCCTCCTGCAAGTCTTTCTCAAAGAACAGTCTGAACCTCTGTGAGTCACTGGGTTGGGGAGTTAAATCATTTTGTTAAGCTTTAAAACCAATAAACCTCAGGGGCATCACCTGGGGTTCTGTGCCTGTAGAGTTTCTTCACTTGGTTACAAAGTTTGCATGTCAAATTGGGCCCATTCCTTTTCTGTAATGGATTTTCAAAGCTGGAGAGAGGGAATGGGGAATGGATATCTTGGAAAAGGAGGTTGTAGCCAGGTGGAGGTCTGGCTTTGCTCCCAGGGAACAAGCAACAGGACAAGAGGAAGCACCTTTGCTGGGAGAGGACAGCCTAAACAAGAGGCTTAGGTTGGATATTAAGGAAAATTCCTTCATGGAAAGGCCTGTCCAGCCCTGGTACAGGCTGTCCAGGGCAGTGGTAGAGTCACCATTTGTGGAGGAATTTAACAGCCTTGAGGATGTGGCACTTGTGGACATGGTTAGTGGTGGCTTTGTCAGCGCTGGGGGAACAGTTGTACTTGATGGTCTTGGAGGGCTTTTCCAACCTCTGCTATTCCATGACTGCCAGGAAAGCCCTATTTCCTCAACCTGCTGAGCACTGAGCAGCATTTTAGCAGCTGCAGAAGTCAGGAATGAAGAACTCAGACTGTTCTGAGCCGAGGCCTCTGTGCAGAGCCAGAACTGTCAGTGCTGACTGTGCTGGCTGTGTCCAGGAACCTCATACAGCTTTATGCCTGAAGTGTATGTCTTCAACTCAAACCACCTTCTCTTAGAAAAGCATTCCCACTTTTTTTTTTTCCCCTGGAGATGTCTGGTGTTTGGTTTTTTCCTGCTTAACAAGTTCTTGTCTTGGAATGTGGCACCTCTGGGGATTTTGTTGTTATCCTCAACTTCTGAGATGTCTGCAGTGGAGAAGCAGGTTGGACAGCCAGAGCCCTCGTGCCTGGATTCTCCAGATAAGAGAATGAAGGAAAATCACAAGTCTAGGATAAGAAGTGCTTTGGGAGCCTGTGTCTTATCTGGAGATACCACATTTCTGTGCACTTCAAAGTACTGTTACAACCCTGCTGGGTCAGACCTGGCCCCCAGAAATGAATAAACACAACAGGGCTTTTCCACTGAGGCTTCAGCTCTTAAAACTTGTCAGCTTTTGCCCTTGCTCTTTGCGTTGAAGAGTTGTTCCAAATCTTCTAATCTCTATCCTAAAATTAACCACGGAGGTTTCTCCTCCATGCCAGCTGTGTCCTTCACCAGCAGCAGAGATCTTCCTCCTCCTCAGTGTTTTGCCTGCTTTTTCTAGAACTGACCTAATTACTGGATTCCTCTGTTACTGCTTCTCTAACCAAGGTCACTTTGCTTCCCTGATCACTGCAGTTCCAGCCAGGAATGGTAAATTCAAACTGGGAATGCTGGAGGGAAGGACCAGACCTGCAGAGATGAGACTTTGCCACTATTTTGCATAAGAGTGTGGAACACAGCTGTCTCTCCTGGAATGGCTTTGACTGATAAATTGTAGAATCATGGAATTGTTTGGGTTGGGAGGGACCTTAAAGCTCATCTGCTTCCACCCCCTGCCATGGGCAGGGACACCTGCCACTAGCCCAAATTACTCCAAGCCCCATTCAACCTGGCCTGGAACACTGCCAGGGATGGGGCAGCCACATCTGCTCTAGGCAACCTGTGCCAGTGACTCAGCACCCTTACAGGATTCCAGAATCTCCTTTGTGTCTCAGGGCTGTGCCACAGCCTCAGGGCTGTGTTCTGCTGGGCTTTGTGGCACAGTAGTACAGCCAAGTCACCTTGTTCCCTCCCCTCTGTCTCTCCTGGCTCCCCAGGATGTGGTGCTGGAGGCTGGCATGGCTGCTCAGGGGGCTGAGCTGGCAGCGTGGGACCTCCGGACATCGCTCACTGTGGCTGTCCCGTGGCACAAGGACCATCCTGGCTGCTGCAGCACATGGGCACCACACAGCCCCAGAGTCCCTCAGGTGTGCCTGGCAGTTGCACAGGGACCATCTAGGTAGGTGTGTTGGGGGTGGGGATGTACCTCTCTCTGAGGCTGCCTGGAGAGAGGTGTGAGAGTGGGAGTGATGTATTTTTTCTCTCTGAAATGGTCTGCATGAAAGGGATGCACACTGAAGTCTGTCTCATGTTCCCTTCGGGAATTCCCAAAGGCAGGATGGAGCAGGCTTGTCTGCTGACAGCAAGTCATTTCTGCTAAGCAAGGCAGTGCTAAATCAGAAATCAAATCCAAGGATTCTTGATCAGAAACTGCATCTGAGCCTTGCCCTGTCAGGCATTGTGTGCTGTGCCGTGCTCAGGCCCTGCCTGGAAGGCAGAGGGGCTGCTCTGTTGTGTGCCCAGCTCTTCTGCCTGCATTGTGCAGGTTGTCCTGGGTTGGACCTTGTTACTCCGAGTCACTTGCAAGCAAAGGGAATTGCTCCGCACTTTACACTGGCCCCAAGAAAGGATACTGTTTTCCTGCTGCAAAGTGCCCTCGGATACCTGAATTTCAAAGCTGTGGAACTAGAGCAGGAAGGGCTCTCCTGTCACCTGTGCTGGCTCTGACCCACTTCTGAAGGGCTTCAAGTATTCCTGAGCTGTTCCTGAATAGATCAAGAAGGAGGTTTACTGATTTTTTCATTTTTTTTTAGTTGACCATTACCTGCACTCCTGTGCTGAGGGTCTACAACTCTGATGTGCAGCTCTGAATTTACTACTTGATGAGATGATCAGGGGAGGTCTGGGACCAGCATGTACTAGCCATGTGCCTTCCCACTGCAGGATGGGATGTTGCAATTTAATGGCTTCCCACTGCCAGTGGGCAGGGTTAGATTGGATATTGGAAAGAAATTCTTCCTGGTAAGGCGCTGGCACAGGTTGCCCAGGGCAGTGGTGGAGTCACCATTCCTGGAAGTGTTCAAGGTCAGGTTGGATGGGGCTTGGAGCAACCTGATCTAGTGGAAGGTGTCCCTACCCATGGCAGGGTGTGGAACGAGATGAGCTTTAAGGTCTCTTTCATCCAAACCCTTCGGGGATTATTCTGTGAGATCTCCTGTAGACCTGGTAGGAAGGGAAACTGCTGAGATCACTGATAGCCAGGCCTGCAGTAAGATTTTCTACCTGGCCTCCTCATGTGACAATTTAAGTCGAGGTGCCTCTGAATCCCCTGTGAGTGAGGTCATAACTTGTGGGCTCTGGGCTTCAGTTCTTGACTTCATTTTTCTCCTTGTTCCCCCAAAGCATCCTTTGATCCTGTCCTTTGCAGAGCTCACGTATGGGAACACGTTGATGCGCTTAGACTTCGTGTGGCTGCGGGACCACTGCCGCTCAGCCTCCTGCTACAACACCAAGACCAACCAGCGCAGCCTGGACACAGCCAGCGTGGACCTGGCCATCAGGCCCCAGGCTGTCCGTGTGGATGGGACCACACTCTTCCTCACCTGTGAGTACAGAACACCTGTGCCCTTCATGCTTTGGAGGGAGCCTTGTCAGTGGATCCCACTCAGCTTTTCTGGGAGAGGACAGCCTTGTCCCAAAATCTGTGGCTGGATGGGAAGATTTTGAGCTGGTTTTAAACACTGTTCATACTGTAAACACACCTCAGCCTTAAACTGTGTCTGGTTTTCCTACCCACCAGCCCTTTTGGGCAGGAATGTGTGTCTGCAATGTCCAGGTGTTTCCTAGCTTTGATTGAACACAGCAGCAATGTAGGTAGTGAACAAATGGGTCAGGGCATGGTTGGTTCTCTTTTCCTTACCCTGTCCTGTTTGAGCTGGTGTCATCCCTGAGCAGAATGCCTGTTTTCTGTCCTTTCTCCTTGGTTTCCTACCTGTATTATTCCTTCTGGTGGAGCTTACCTTTATTCATAGGCTTGGCTCCAGAGCTTTACTTCTCTTTGGAATCCTGGCAACAGAAACCAAAACCACTGAGGAGGAAACAGCCCCAAATTAGGGAGCTACAGCTGCCCTGAATTTTTGGAGAGAGTTGCAGCCACCCTGAATTTAGAGTTGTGGCAGCAATGGCAACACTTTCAGGATTCTTGGCCTTACAGATAATATTCTGAGTGGCATCAGGGTGCAAAGAGCCTGTCTCCAGACAAATGGAGAGGGGAGGACTGTCCTAGGCTGACAGGTGCCATGATGTCAGGCTGTTCAGTGCCATGCTGGTGACTGTGGCCCTTGTCCCCTGTCCCAGGGCCGGACGGGCATGTGACACGGTACGGGCTGGAGTGGCTGGTGAAGAACAGCTACGAGGGGCAGAAGCAGCAGGTCATGCACCCGCGGATCCTCTGGAATGCAGAGATCTACCGGCAAGCCCAGGTGCCATCTGTTGACTGCCAGAGCTTCCTGGAGACAGATGAGGGGCTGAAGGAATTCCTGCAGAACTTCTTGTTGTACGGGATTGCTTTTGTGGAGAATGTCACTCCCACCAAAGAGGACACAGAAATCTTGGCCGAAAGGATCAGCATCATCAGGTGCCTGGGGCTGTCCTGGGAAGGGTAAACTGTTTTCCTTTTGTTTGGAAAGGTGCTGCCTCCTTATCCTGTATATTGTGCAGTATGGCCTAGTTTGCAGACAAAAGCTCTGGGTCCTCCACAACCTCTGGCTGCTCCACTTGACCTGGGATGGAGGATCCCATTGTGGGATCTGCCCTGTTTTATGGGACAGCTGGGAATCACCAGGTTATGGAGCTGCCCTGGGAACATGCAATGACTTTTGTGATAGTGGGAGTGCACAGAGTGGAGTGATGGAAGGAAGCAGCAGTCTGGGAAGAGCAGAGCTTTGCAAGGAGAGACATTTCCTGTTATGACTTGAGGGGTCAGGAGGGCAGCCTGGCCCTGGGAGCCAGCGAGATCCAAGACCAGCCCTGGGAGCCAGGGACGCCAAAAAGCAGTCATAGCTCTCACTACTAGAACCAGTGAGAAATGTTTCTGCTGGGTTTATGTAAAGCACCACCAGCTTGGCAGGCTGGGGGTTGAGTTTGGAATTCTATCCAAGCTGCAGAAACAGTTTGACTTACCTTGGGCCATTGGAAAAGGAAGGATTTCTTTTAATGAACAGTCACTTCAAATAGAAATGAGGCACTCCAGGGAATATCCAGCCAACTCCTGTCTCCAGGTACCCTCCTCCTGTAGCCTGAGTGCTATTTGTCCTTGTCTGCCATCCCTTCTGTCCCATGCATGTTTGTAGGGATGAAGTGGGTGAAAACACAGGATCCTGGGAAGAAGAAATAGGACTATTGGATAACCTTGTGTGGGGCTGGCTGCACTAGGGCAGCCTCTCATATCACCTCCATGGTTTGACTGGAGATGATGTTTGGTGTGGAAAGATCTGTATTTGTGGAGGAGAAGCAAGGCTTATCACCACTGGCTTTCTAGGGAGGAAAGAGAAGAATTGAATACTAGAGGAAGGATTAGAAGCACCATCCCTGACAATGTCAGTTTTGTTAAGTTGTTCCGCTTTAATTTACTCTGAACATGGGATGGAGGGGAATGCAGGAGAGGATCTGTCCTATCCCTTAGCTGATCTCACAGTTTTCCATGGTAACTGCCTGCCTCTTTTCCAGAGAGACCATTTATGGCAGGATGTGGTACTTCACCTCTGACTTCTCCCGGGGAGACACAGCCTACACCAAGCTGGCCCTGGATCGGCACACGGACACAACCTACTTCCAGGAGCCCTGTGGGTATGTAGTGCTGCTGCCGCTTCCCGGGCACATGATGCAGGAGGCAGGAGCGAGTCACATCGATGCCATTCCTACCAGCATGAGTTTTCTTATCTGCAGAACTACTGATGGCCCTGCTAGTCACACAGCAATTCTGGGGCCTGTCTGATCATAGAATCCCAGAATGGTTTGCATTGGAAGGAACCTTGAACCTCATCCCACCCCATGCCTGCCATGGGCAGGGACACCTTCCACTAGACCAGGTTGCTCCAAGCCCCATCCAACCTGGTCTTGAACAGTTCTAGAGATAGGACAGTCACAGCTTCTCTGGGCAACCTGTGCCAGTGCCTCACAGGGAAGAATTTCTTCCCAGTATCCCATCCATCCCTGCCCTCCTTCAGTTTAAGGCCATTCCCCCTTGGCCTATCACTGCATGCCCTTATGTGATCCCTGTGGACTGTGCCTGTGGATCACTCTTCCTGTGCTTGGAACTCCTAGATCTTCCAGGATGCAGGCAGGGAAGAAGTTGGCTGTTGGAGAGCTGCTGCTGAGGATTGCTGGGGTTCAAGGCTTTGTTGTTATACAGAGGGCTCAGAGCTGTAACATTTTGGAGCTACCCTGAAGCTTCTCAGACAGTCTTTTCTGAACCCTCCCTCCTCAGTCTCCTAGTGCCACACAGCTTCCAAACTCATGGAAATGAGCCATTGATTTTATTTCTTTTGGGCACATATGGCAAAGCCCTACTGCTCGTGCAGCCAGAGCCCCTTGGCAGCTACTGCAGGAGTTTGCTTTGACTTAATCCTGTCTCTTTTCTGGCTGAGCTCTGTTAACTGTATTCTCTGGGAAAGTGGAGAGAACAGCTGTATCCTCTGGGAAAAGAGAGCAACTCCCTTGGCACAGCCTGCAGTGACTGTGCCCTCCTGAGCTGTGAGTAGTGACTCTGCTCGTGCAGCCCCTGTGCCTCAGGTCAGCCAGGCTGTGGTTTGTGTTCTGGCAATGGTGCAGCCCTAAGGGTACTCAGAAACCAGGTTTACCCAGTACTTCCCAGTTCATACCTCTCTGGGCTTTGGAAAGCACTTGGTAGCAACCTAGGCTAGTGGAAAGTGTCCCTGTCTATGGCAGAGAGTTGGAACAGGATGAGCTTTAAGGTTTCTTTCAAAACAGATCGTTCTGGGATTCCATTATTCTATGACTTAGGCTCACTTTCTAGCTTTCTGGGGTGTTTTTGTTTGGTCTTCTTTCATCTGAACCAAGAGGAGATTCATGAGGAAATGGCCTGTGGAAGAATGGGTGGAAGCACTGTGGTCCATTATGGAACTAGGGATACAAGGAGAAGCCATCCAGCCCACATCTCCTGCCCCAGGACAGGATTAGCTTGTTCCAAATGAGGCTGTGAACTTGCTAAACATCCTCATGAGAAAGGGCTGTGGTCCTAGTTGTAGGAACAGAGGAGATGAAGTGAGATCCTTGGCTGCACACAGATTTCAGAGCAGAAAAGGTAGAGTTGCCTGGGTGTGTCCTGGCTGGGCACTGCCCCCAGCTTTGCAGGGTACTGTTTGTTCTGGAGCAGCTAAGTCTGAGGAGCAAAATAAATGGATTTCATTGTGCCCTGTGGATCTGGAAGTGTATGCCTAAAGCATAGGTCCTGGCCCACATTTCCAGCCAGATCTGGTTGGCTTCCCTGTTCCCATGAAGGACCCATGTGCTTTTGTGATCTACCTTCTTGGCTGACTTGTTTTGGGAGCTCACAAAATCTTCCTCAAAACCAAATAAAAGCAGTAATTAGTGATCAGAACTTCAGCCTATGGAACAGCTTTGATTGAACTGCTCAGTGCCACAATCCAGAGGTATTTTTATGCCTTTCTTTTCCATTTGGAAGGATTCCCTTCAGGTAGGTATATTCTTACCTGCCACCAACCAAGGTGATAGCATGGGCTGAATAAGCAGGACTGACTATTAATGCTTGGAATTCAGCAAAATCACAGTTGGGTAGGAAAAACCAGACTTTCTGATGTTTCTAACCCCCATCTAAAGGGTAGAGGATAGAAATTCTACAGGCTGTGGTGAAGCTGCACTAGTTCTCACTGCTCTGGTACTAGAGCCTGCCCTCAAGGAGGCTTTCCCAGGGCCTCGAGCTGCCCCAGGAGGTGGTTGCCCCTGAGGCACAGTGTGTCCTTTGCTCCAGTGCTCCTGGACTGACTCTAAAATCATCCTGAAGCTGCTGTGGGGTGAGGGTGGGGCTCCAGGTTCTGCCACATCACTTGCTG